CCCCCCTATCTATTCTTCCCTATTCCTATACATACACGAGTGGTCGAGACTGCGAGAAAAGGCAGCAGACCCCCTCGCTGTCTCTCGCACCACAGTATGCCGGCACGTGTGGCAGTGTCTGCTTGATCGGCCGGTGGTGTCCGCCCCCGGCCCCCGGGCCCCGGCCCCGGCCCCGCGCACAGCCCGACGGCGTGTCCTGCCGCTGAATGCCACATTGTGCAAGAGTGACCATTGGCGAAAAAGGCACATGCTGGGTATTCTTACGCCACGCTTTATATTTCTGTTTGTAGTGTACACTACATACTGTACCGCATGCAGGCGCGCGAGTATGCAACCCGTCCGCACGCCTGCAGGCGGTACAGTATAAACCAGAAGGGCGCCCCCCCCCCTTCCACCTATCCATGGAGAGAAAGGAGGGACGTTGGAGTGGAAGGGGACGACGCCAAGGTGCTCTGGCGGAGAGCGACCCCCTATCCGACTCGACTGCATCCTCTTTTCTCCTCGGCCAGCGGCGGCAAGCGCCTAGGCGCTAGGCTCGGGGCCAGTCACGGGCGCGCTGGCGCTGCCTAACTCCACGGCGCTCTCCTCGCCGCCGGGGCCCCTCTCAGTGCTCTGCCTCTGTTCCTGCTGATGCTCCCGCTGCTGCCGGCGACCCCAAGGCTATACCGTCATTCTTTTGTGGTTTTCTTGAAAGCGGACAACACGAGGGGAGAGGGGGACACATTGGGCCCCGCACGGAGAGCGGTATTGCCCAACGGGCGGTGGGTCTTTTTATTTGCGTCTGCGCGACTCTCCCCAAGGCTGGCCGGCGGCGGCGCCGCCGGCCGCGTCGCGGAACAGGTTTGCCTGGACTGACGTGACGGCCTGCAGTCGGCCGGCGGCCCCCCTCTCACTCTCTAGCTGGCTGAGGACATGCTGCACTACTTGAGTGAGCCGGGGCAGAGCCGGGGCAGAGCCGGGGCACGTGTGTGCGGGCGTGGCGGGGCGCGGCGGCCCGGTGCGCCCAGCCCGTCGGCAGGTGTCGGGGCCCGGGCAGGCCCGGCAGGCCGAGCGGCGGCAGCTGGCGGCCAGGGCCCAGCAGGGCCCGGCCCGGGAGGGTACCCTGCCAACAATTGGAAGCAGGTGGTGACCGCCGCCGCGGCACGCGCGCGCCCGGCGCACACGTCTCGTGCTTGTGATTAGCAGAAGACCATCAGCCCCGCTCGTGGTTCTAATAGGGGCACTTAACCCCCGAAAATAAATAAAATCTTGTATATTTTGTAACAGTGTAGCATCTGGGCATTTAAAAGGCAAAGATTCTGGGGCCAGGTCTCTTTGGGTGAGCCCAGAGGGAAATGGATGAAGACGTTTAAAAAGAACCCTCAGAAACAGAGGACTGGTGAGCTTATACTAGTGTCTGCGCGCGACTGGACACTGGTAGGAATTCGCGGGAAAAGTTGTGGGACGTGGCGTTCTTTTGTCTCGCGTTCCATTTTAGCAGTGTACCCGAGGTGGCCGGATACAGCTGCCGACAAGGCCGGCTCTAACCTAGTCGGCAGGGGGGCGCTGCTGGCTTCAGCTACGTGTTATTTGCATCGCTAGGAACAGGAAGTTCACGCGATTCTGCAATGATATAGTTCCGCAAAAAAAAAAAAAGATTCGAAAAAAGTTAGACACTGAATTTTTTTTGCCCGTACGTGTATTCCGCAACGGCCCTTGCCTCCGCAGAGAGGTTTGCGACAACGGTCGTGCGGTTCGCGATGACGAATCGCCACTACTTCTTCCCCTACCTTTCCCCCTTTCCCTCCCCCACGTCCCCAGGCCTCGCACTCTCCCTCCCTCTCTCTGCACGTGTAGCGACGCCCGGCCGCGGCCGACGCTTTTGGCGGGAAAAACTGGCGTCGGCGATGGCGTCGCATGCGTCATCGCATCGCCCTCCCCTCCCTCCGCACCGCGGTCGCGATTTGCCGGACACCTGCCAGGCTGTATGGGGTGGATGCTTTGTCCAGCGAGAGGGTGGAAATGTACACCAAAAGTGCTTTAACTTCAATTGTTTCTTCTGTTGTTCTTTTTTTTCATTAGAAGTACATTTAGACTGTGACTGAAGCTGCAAGATTGCCGCAATTGAATGGGGTGCATGATGTTATTAGTTTTAGTTGTAGTTTTTTTCTATCAGGTTGAACGGGGCTTGTGCCTTACGGGAAGACGGGATAGGAAAAGTTATCGTCGATAGCATGTTTGGCTAAATTACTAACTAGAAACAAAAATTGCAGTAGTTTATTTTAGCAGTGTGAAAAGACGAGTTCACATTTATTCTCACTGTCTCGCACGCACACACACACACACACTCACTCACTCTTTTGCACCCTTACGAAATGAAAAAGCACCATCCCCTGCATATGCGGGACGTCCTATACACGACACGCCAGATGCCGTAACACGTGCACAAACAGCTTCTCTCTCCCCTCTCCTGCTCCCCTATGCTGTTTCACCCCCATGGCGTCCCTCCCCTCGTGTGGTGCAATGTGCAAGGGGGAGGTTATAAGGTTGGACCCTGGGCTGGGCTGGGCTATGGGTTATGGGCCGGGCCGCGGGGCTGGGCGAGAGCCATAGGCGCCACGACAGACGCGCAGCACCGCGCGGCGGCGCGGGGGAGGCCCGCGGAGGCCCGGGGGGTGTGCCCTGGTGGTGGGGGAAAAGTCCGTTGTGCGAGGCGCCGCCAGGCGGAGGGGAGCGGCTGACGCCCTCCCTCCTGCCCCGCTGCACGCGCGCCGCCAGCCCCGCGGCCTGGAGACTTGGTCGCGGGCGGCCCACGGCAGCAGCTTGGCGGCGCTTGGCGGCGCCCCCGAGGCCGCTCACGCCCTGGCGTCATGACCTTTCTAGCTTTGTCGCCCTCCCTCGCTCAGTTGTGCCTGTGTACTGTACTGTGAACTGTACCTGGTGGATTAGAAACCCCGCGCACTAGTGTGGTTGGTTTGGGGTTTGCCTGGGTCTGCCTATCACCGTGGAGCCTTACGCGCCGAGGATAAACTTCACTTCAAACTTCAAAAAGGGTTATTACGGCGGTACAGTTCTATTTACGCAACCCACCCGCACTCTACCATTCCCCTCACTTCACCCTTTTCTCGCTCAGTCTACTCCTCCGTGTGTATCTGCGACTGTCTTACCTTCCTCTCCATCCTCTCCCTCCCCCACTCTCGCTCTCGCGCATGTGTCGTGCCTGACGCCCCCAGCAGCGCCCAGCTGCTATCCTCCTCGCGCCCCTCGCCTTCCAGTCCAGGGTAGCGAAATCTCCGTCTGGCCGGTCGGTTCCGGTGGCACATTTGTCGTGACTTTTCCCCTTGCCGTGCGAGGGCGTGCGCTGAGCGTGCGTGTGTGCGCTTCCTGTGTGTCGCCCCCCGTCGCGCACGTGCACACAGGGGCGGAGGGAGCGGCGGCGCGGCCCAGGCGCATAGCCCGCCCCGCCGGCCCGCGCGCATCTGGCGCAGGGCGTGGCGGGGCGGGGCGGGGCGGGTGGAGTGGCGCGGTGCATCTGTTCCGTGCCGCGCCACCCTCCCCCACTGAGGGGTTGAAGGAGGGAGGGAGGGGGGTGCGCCCGCGGCGGTGTGCGTTGTGTGGCGCTATTTGAACTGGCCGGGCCTGCCCGCTGCTACCCAGCTACCCTCCCCGCACGCCCCTATGCTGCGCGCTGCCGTCGACCCCTCCTCTCCTTTCCGCCAACCTCCGCTGCTCCGTCATCGTCAACCTGACGGCCCCCCGGACTGTGTGGGAACTTCTCTGCTCCATTCTCATTACGATTCACGTTTGCTCCCCCCGGGCCGTCCGCATGGTGCTGCGTACAACAGTGTGTGTGTGTGAGTGCGTGCAAGGAAAGAAAGAGTAGAAGAGAGAGGGAGGTCCTTCCTTGCCGCCACCACCACCGAGTCTGTCATTTTTTAATTGTACTGCCATTGTGCCGCTGGGACGTGTTTCTCTCCCTTCCCTCTCCCTTTTTAATCGCACCCCCTGCCCCCCTCTCCGCCGCCCTGCGCGCACCCTGCCCCCCCCTCCTTCCTGCCAATTAGCTCAGCGCTTCAAGGCGTCAGGAAGGAATTGACAGGCAGGCGAAACGTCAGGGGCGGCGTGCTGTACGAGAGAGGAGGGTCCTCCACGCTTGGGGGTCCTGCTCGTTGACGTGTTCCTCCTCGACGCCGGGTGCTCGAGACGCGCCGAGCCCGCGGCTGCGGCCAGGCCTTTGCGTCGCCTTCCGCGGCTCAGCCAATGGCGAGGAGGATCATGATGATGCGCGTTGGGCCTGGGCATGCGGGCGCGGACCGGACGGGTCAGCCGGTGTCCGGCGGACAGGGCCTGGGGGGAGAGAGACAGAGAGAGAATGTGTGTGTGTGTGTGTGTGTGTCTAGCAAGTAATTCCTTCCCCCACCCCCCTTTGCCGTCCCCGCATCTCCCCTGGCGCTGTTTTAGGGTGCCCGG